CTACAAGGAATTAATCATCCTAACCAAACTAACTGATGGAACAAGGGATGACAGTTCGAACATGTAGCCAAGTTCAGCAAGATTTGCCACCAATGCCACCTCCCCTAATTTTTCCTAATAAAGTGGAAAAAGAAATTAGTAAGCAGTAAAAGAGCGGTGCTAATAGGGTGTTACAAGGAGGTATTGGAGATATTCAATGAGATGCAAAAAAAAAAAAAAGTTAGACCTAAAAACTTTATCTTGTCAAGTGTTTTGGCTACTTGTGCTAATTTGAGGGCACTTGATCAAGGCAGGTGGATTCATGCTTATGCAAGAAAACTTTTTATCAAATTGGATGCAGTTTTATGGACTGATTTGGTGGACATGTATCCTAAATGTGGGCGCATTGACTTGGCTTGGGATGTTTTTGAGAATATGAAAGAGAATGAAGTTTTCTCTTAAAATGCAATGATGGGAAGACTAGATATGCATGGCAGAGTGGAGGATGCTATTGAGCTATTTTTCAAAATATAGAGGGAGAAGGTATTGAGACCAAATGAGATTACTCTTGTCTGTGTTTTAAACGCTTGTGCTCATGCAGGATGGGTTGATAAAAGTATAAAGATATTTAATTCAATGCAAAAGATTTATGGTGTTGAGCCAGAAATAGAGCATTATGGTTGTCTGGTCTATTTGTTAGGAAGAGTAGGGCTTTTGGAAGAGGCAGAGGAGCTTATTGCCTCAATGCTAATGAAGCCCACTGCAGCTGTTTGGGGAATACTTTTGGGTGCTTGCAGGATACATGAAATGTTGAACTTGGTGAAAGAATTGGGAAAATCTTGCTTGAGATAGACCTTCTAAATTTGGTGAAAGAATTGGGAGCATTATGCAAAGGATAGGAGATGGTAGGATGTCGGAAAGTTGAGAAAATTAATGAAGGGAAGGGATATCAGAACAACACTGGGAATTAGCATGATTGATTTAGATGGCATCATTCATGAATTCAAAATGGGTGATGGATCGCACCCACAAGTGAAGGAAATTCACATGATGATGGAGAAAATCATTGAGAAGTTGCAGATGGAGGGCTACTCATCAAATACCTCTCAAGTTTTGTTTGATATCAGTGAAAAGGAGAAGGAAATGCATTGAAGTACCACAATAAAAAGCTTGTAATTGCTTTTGGATTGCTCAACGCAAAACCAGGCACTCCAATTCGCATTATCAAGAACTTGAGGGTCTGTGAGGACTGTCATTCTGCCACCAAACTTATTTCAAGAGTTTATAGGCGCAAAATTATTATCAGGGATCATGTTTATACCATCATTTCAAGAATAGAGTATGCTAATGCAAGGATTTCTAGTAAAAGTTCTTAAAATGCTAAGTTCTTAAACAAAAAGCATATGAACTTGCAAAAACAACATTGGGTAACAACTCATCTTCCACCACATATTCACGATTTGATAAAAGAAAAAAAATAAACAGAGGGAGTTTACCATAACCAAGAAGAACATTGTTCAGAGAAGATTTAAAGGTGAAGAACGAAAGAAATACATGCAAATCAAAGAAAAAACGAAAGAAATATATGCAAATCAAAGAAAAAATGAAAAAAATACATGTAAATCAAAGAAAAAAATGAAAAAAATTGATGTTGAAAAATTAAAAAAAAATACAAAAATACTTACCGATCGAGAAGGTGAAGAACGCAAATCAGAAGTAGAATTAAGGACCCAACATTTAGAAGCAATCAAAGAAGAAGAACAAACAAATATCGATCAGAGAAGAAGAAGATTGGAGCTGTTCGTCCTCCTCATCTGTGGCTTGACTGAGGAAGAAAAGAAAATAGGATTTTTAATTATGAGATAAAAATGAAATTAATTATATTAGATGGGGGGTATAAAAGAAGAAAAATAGCATGTCGGTCACATACTACTAATTCAATGGTTTAAAAATTCATGCTAAATTTGTTGGTTAGATACCGTTTATTACCATTGGAAGTTGAAACAAACACGATTTTTTCACACCTGTAGAATACCATATATTAAAATTCTACCATTCACCATGATCCAAACATAGTGTGAGGATCCATAGGGGTGTCTCCCCTACCAGTGAAGCCGATATTCACTTTAAACAATTAATCGGTTGTTTCCATATTCCGTCTGGTAATAAGCGCCAAACATTCCATCGCTTTGATACCCCATCTGGTATGAGGGTAAACCATATCTCTCAAACCTTTATGGTAAGGGACTTCACAGTTCCGTCCGACCGAGGTAATATTCACAGTAGGATTTTCTATATACCAGGTCCGTCTGTCCATTCCCAGGTACCCAATAAGTCTTTCACATACATATTTTTATCAATAAAACAACCAACCACATAATACCAATATCTCATTGTATATTCATAGATCAATAAAACAACATTTAAGCAAACAGTACGATTTCATACCTCAATAATTAAGAAACATAATTGGGGCATTTATTCCAAATTAATGAATCAGATAAAGATCATGATCAGACACTCAATAAATGGGAAAAATAATTTAAAAGTAATAATTTTAATCATACGGTAGATCAATCAAATAAGTAAAACAGTACAAAAAAATAAAAGAAAAATCAAGATAGTTGTGAACTAACCGATTCCGCATCCATTAGTAAACTATCATTATTTTTAGAATTTTTAATTTTTTACAAAAATATAAAATTATATATCGGTAAGCCTCAATTTATCATAATTGAGAGTAGGACGGTGAGCACAATGATAAAAAAATTGCATAAAACGAGAAATAAAAAAGGGCTCATCGGATGAATTTTTGAGTTTTTACCGCGGCAACTTCGCCGGGCTTTGCCCGTAATTTCTGACTCATCTATCGTCCATCTTCCTCCGATTTGACCACAGGAATGCTTGAAATCGAATTCTGAGCAGGTATGAGAAATTTTTACCTCTTTTGGTGGCCGGCGGTGCCTTCGGTGCGGCGACGGTCGGCAGTCGGCCTTGTTCTCCAGTGCCTGGTTCTTTTTCTCCAGCAAGGCTAGCGGCTAGGGTTTGGGATCCCATGCGATGCGAAGTATTTATACCCATCATGCATTGATCTGAACTGTTTATCGCGATTGATCTTGTTTGTCCGATCGCACCTAAGAAGGAAATGAATCTGGACCGTCCATCGTGATTTGATATCGGCTGTCCGATCGCACTTAAGGTAGAAACGACTCTAAATTGTCTATCGCGATTTGATCTCGGCTGTCCAATCGTGCTTAAGGGGGAATCAAATCCGGGTAGTCCACATGCGCGAGATCGATCTTGAGCCGTCCGATCGCGAGGCATGCGGATCGCTCACGTGGCCTCCCGCGTGGCACTGACATCAGCGTGTCTTGCCACACAGCGTGCTCCGATTCGTCGGGTTTGCTGACTGGGCAATTCTACGTGACCGAACTTTTTCTATTTGCACTTTAACTTCGTATTTCTAATTTTTCTTTCAAAAATACTATACGAATCCAAATTTTCACATTTTTTTTTTAAAATTGCTTTCAATTACATTCCTACCTATTTTTTTTAATAATATAATAAAATTGACTAGAAATTAATTTATAATTAATTAATTAATTAATTTTTTAAAACACTAAAATTAATCGGAGGCTAATTTCGGATTCAAATATTAATTGTGCAATTAAATTTTTTTGCATTAAGTTAATAGTGATTATCGAATCCAACAAATTAATTACTTACACTCATGCGGCAAAAAGGTGGTAATTTATACACTAGCATTTGTGGAGGGATTAGATTCTAATTTAACTTATAATTAATTAGGACTTAATATATAATTATTACCATATAAATATGTAAAATCTTCCAAAATGGAATATTATATGTACTTATAATTAGCACTCGTAAAAGGGTTTTACAGCACAAGAAATTACTATGTATTCCTATATTTTTACCCCCCAAAAAATATATGCATATATATATATATATACATGTATGTACATTCCTATACCTTTGTGAAGAAACGACAATAATTCAATGGAAAGTCCAAAAAGGAAATTACAAGGGGAAAAAGGTTTATTATATATATTCCCCTTCCATCACAAGCGCTATAAATGTATACATGTTGTATGTATATGGTATTCTTGTATATATATATATATATGTATATATATGTATATAACTTTTAATAGCTTATAAGTTATATGTAAAGAAATTGTTAATTGTAGGGTAAAAGATAATGTACGCAATAAGAATAATCAAATTATAAATAGTCTAAAATAGCTTATAAAAGATTAAGAAATTAATGAGACTTGATTATTTTTTATTATAGAAATCCCACAGGATTATAATCAATGATTTTAGCCAAAAATATTG